TCATTTCTCCATCATCTTCCTCAAAAAATCCCCTCCCCCCCCCCCCCAATCCCTTCCTCCCTCCCTCATTTCTTCCTTATCTTCCTCAACCTCCTCCCCACCCCCCACCCTCACCCTCGTCACCCCCAACCCCCCCCCACCCAAAAAAAAAAAAGAAAAAAAAACTTTTCAAATATCTTTAGTCAATACACCGAGTTGCTTTAATTACACTCATTAACTTACCTCAAGAACACTAAAGGGAAGTCATCAGCCAGATAGCCTCCAGGTGTATCTCGATTTCTGAATTCCTGACACATCGATCGGTTATCGTCATATGAATCTGTGCTTGGTAACGTTTTATATCAAATTTTAGTCATTATCGTGAGTAAATTTGTCTTTTTTTATTTTATTTTATTTGTTTTAGTCATTATCGTGAGTAAATTTGTCTTTTTTTTATCTTATTTTCTTTGTTTGTTTGTTTTTTCTTTTTCGAATTTGAATAGATAAGTTTTATTATCAATACGTTTTTTTTTTCATGAATTAATGTTGTTTTTACTTATACTGTATATATAATGATAATAATAATGATACTATGATGATGATAATGATGATGATGATGAAGAGGAGTAGGAAGAGGAGGAGGAGAATAACAATAGTGATAATGAATAACAATAGTAACAATGATATTAACACTAACAATAACAATAACAACAACAACAATAACAACGAAATGATAACAAACAAACGCAACAGCCAAAGAAGCAAGGGAATAAAAGAAAGACGTGAGAAGGGACTGACCTTAACAGTGACTTACAACGGTCACTTTTATTAAGCGATTGATTTTGTGAAGCCCGGGTTAACTAGAGCAGAGAACCGAGGTAGTAAGCGAAGGGACAGGGAGCCGGGTGGGCCAGGGGACAAGAAAGTGCAATACTCTGGAATCCGTTTGGGTCGATAATCCATTAGATACCAGATAGGTCGATGGGCCTTGTGGTCTTTCGAATTGGGAGAATTGGTTATCAAAGGTAACGGTATATTGTGTAGGGGGTTAGAGGGGGTGGGGGGTAGAAGGGAAGAGGGAGGGGAGGGGGGAGGAAAGGAAGGGGGAAGGGTTGGGGAAGGAAAAGGAGAGGGGTAGTGGGGGAGGAGGGAGGGGAGAAAGGAAGGGAGAGGGGTTGAAGGGAGAAAGGGAAAGGGGTTGGGGAGGGAAGAAAGAGGGGTAAGGTAAAGAAAGGAAGAAGGAAGAAGGGTTGGGGGAGGGAAGGAAAGGGAGAGGGGTCGAGGGAAAAAGTGAGGGTGTAGGGTAAAAGCAGGGAAAGGAAAGGGAGAATACAGGGACAGAAGTAGGAAGAGAAGAGAGAGGGGAAAATAAAATAAAAAGGTTAAGGGAAAGAAAGACAGAAGATTGAGGGAAGCAAATAAGAGGAATAAAAGGGAAAGACAAAAAAAGAGGGGAAAAAAATAAGGTAATTTGAGAGGGGAAGTGAAAGTGAGACATTTAAGGAAAGGAAGGTAAGGGAGTAGGTAGGAAGAGGAGGGGGCGGGGGGGGAGAGGTAGAACCATAGGAATGGGAGTTATACAACAACCGTAGAACTCTATTCGGAAACAATATCGTAGAACAGGTTAATCTACGTGGCTTTGCTTCCCTGATGGACGGTAAAGCTATGCCATGCTGTATTTTCGAAGTCGAGTCGGGAAAAAAATGGCTTTGCTGTTGTTGTTGTTGTTTTTGTTTTCGTTATTGTTGTTGATCGCTCTCTCTCTCTACTTTCATCGGCTTCTCTCGAACTCCTCTCTATCTATCCGTCTATTTGTTTATGTATTTCTCTATCTATCTATCGATTTCTCTCTCATTGTAACGGTTTCCTCTGCTATAATTATTACCATTTTACATTTCTCTCTCTCTTTCTATTTATCTATCTATCGATATGTATTTATATTCATGTATCTGTCTATCTATCTACCTATATATCGATCTATTTATCTATTTATCTAATCTATCTATCTATCTATTGATCTAGAACTGCCTCTCACCTCTTCCCGAAAAAATTACTTATTATCTTCATTATCAATCTATTTCAAAGAAAAAAAAATCACCACGTTATTTTTCTAAGTTAATAAAGAGTCGAGATAAATGCACAGTAATCTCAGACTGATTACATAATCTTTCAAAAAAAAAATAGTTCGGTATTTTTTTCCCACCGTATGTGTAATCAAGAAAAAAAAACAATGATAATAATAATTTTGGCATTTTCTATCCCTTTCCCTTCGTCTTGCTTAACCTATCATTAACGCTCATTGAAAGGGCGGAATGGGAGGAAAGAAGGGAGATGATAGATAATTGATAAAAACAAGAAGGGAAACAACAGATGAATAGATAGAGAGAGAGTTGTTAAAGACATAATTATGTGCAATTGTGTTTTCATTCTAATGGCTTGTTGGGTATTTACTATTGTTTTTAGTCTAGTGTGTGCGTGTATGTAAATTAATTGCTTTCATTGTTGTTTATTTGTTCTGTATCTCATATTCTCTAGACCCCCCCCCCCCATCGCATTCACACCCACTATACACCTTCCCAACAATCTTTTTCATCTTCTCTTTCCTTTCTCTCCCATTCTTGTCCTCTCCACCCCTTTCCTCTCCGTCCTTTTTCTCTCATTCTTGCCCTTTCCTCATCCCCTCCCCTCCCCCCTCCTCTCTTTCCTTTCTCTCTCTTCCTTGTCCTCTCCCCCTCCCCTCCCCTTCCCTCTCTTCCTTTCTCTACCATTCCTTTCCTTTCCACCCCTTTCCTCTCCTTCCTTTCTCTCTCATTCTTGTCCTTTTCCTCATCGCCTCCCCTCCCCCCTCCTCTCCTTCCTTTCTCTCTCTTCCTTGTCCTCTCCCCCTCCCCTCCCCTTCCCTCTCCTCCTTTCTCTCCCATTATTGCCCTTTCCTCCCCCCCTCCCCTCCTCCCTCCTCTCTTTCCTTTCTCTCTCCTCCTTGTCCTCTCCCCCTCCCCTCCTCTCCCCTCCTTTCTCTCCCATTCTTGTCCTCTCCACCCCTTTCTTCTTCGTCCTTTCTCTCTCATTATTGCCCTTTCCTCACCCCCCCTCCCCTCTCCTTTTCCTCCTTTGCCCCCCCCCTCCTTTCCCTTCATAGACATCAAGCACATATTCCGTAGCACATATGCACACGCCTCCCTCCCTCACCGTTCTCCCTCAATTTCTTCACCCTACACCCCCATCTTTCCTTCACCCCTTCCCTTTTGTCCTTTCCCCTCCCTCTTGCACCCTTACCCCTCCCTACCCCCTCCATTTTCCCCCCTTTATTTCACTTTCCAAACTTCTCCCTTCCTCATTATCTTTCAACCTCACTACCCATACGTACTTCTAACCACTTCCCCTCCTCCCCCTTTCCCCCCCCACCCACCTATCGTCCCTACACTCCTACCCACCCATCCTCCCCTCTCCTACCCACCCCCCAACCCCCCATCAACCTCCTCTTCCACCCCACCCACCCCATCCACCTACCCACTCTCCTCCTCCACCCACCCATCCTACCCCACCCACTTATCAACCCACCCCCCTTCCCCCCTTCCCACCTCCCCATCCACCTTCCCCCTTTTCCACCCCTCCCACCCACCTCCCCACCTCCCCCTTCCCTCTCCACCCCACCCACACTAAAACCCGCGTTTACCTTCCACTCCCAGGACAGTGTTCGAAGTTCGGCCACTCCTGTTACGGCGGACACGGCAAGCGAAGCGAGGACCAATACCCTTCCAGCATCGACTACGCAGCAGCCAATCAGGTACCCGCCCTCGCCCTCAAGGCAGCCCAAGACGACGCCCTGACCTGGGATGACTCCGCCTCTTCCCTCTCCAACCCCGAGATCATCGCTAATGTTCGAAACTGGGTGAGTTTGGGTCGGGGTATTGGTGCGTGGGTTCGGGGGGTTAGGAGAGGGGGAGGGAGGGTGGGAGGGAGGGAGGGAGGGAGGGAGGGTGGGAGGGAGGGAGGGAGGGAGGGAGGGAGGGAGAGAGAGAGAGAGAGAGAGAGAGAGAGAGAGAGAGAGAGAGAGGGAGGGAGGGAGGGAGGGAGGGAAGGAGAGAGGGAGAGAGAGAGAGAGAGAGAATGAACGAGAAAAAAGAGAAAAGGAAAAAAGAAGGGAAGAGAGAGAGAGATTTGAAAAGCCGAAAGAGAGAAAAAAAGAGAAAGAGAAGAAGGAAGAGAAGAGAGAGAGAGAGAGAGAGTAAGAGACAGAGAGAGAGAGAGAGAAGTGGGAAGAGAGAGAGACTCACTCTCTTCTGTTTCTTCTGATTGTCTTTCAGGTTTTTCTTTGTCTTTTATTTTCCTTTTCATCTTTTTTTATTTTCTATTCTTATTTTCATTTTCGTTTTTCCTTTTCTTTTTTCTTTTTTCTTGATTTTAGTATTTCTCATTTTGTGTATCTTTAGATTTTTTGTATGTCACGTTTTCTGTATTTAACTTTGCTAACACACACACACACATACACGCACATACTCATATACACACACACGCATGCACACACACACACACACACACACGCACACACACATACACGCAAACACACATACACACACGCATTTTTTTTTCTCTCTTTCCCCGTTATTTCTTTTTTCCTCCTCCCCTCTCTCAAACACTCTCCTTGTTCCCTCCTTTCTTCTCTCCTCGTTTATTTCCCTCTTTCTCCTTTTTTCCATCTATCATCCCCCCCCCTTGGTCTCTTCACCTCATTTTTACTTCTACGTCATTTCTCTCCCCAACTTCTCTCCCTTTTTACCTCTTCCCCCCTTCTTCCCCACACAGGTCTCCCTCCAACCCTCCCTGCTTCCCTCCCTCCCTAAACCTTCATGCTATCTTACCTTTCCTCCCTCCCTCCCTCCCTCCTTCACTCACTCACTCACTCACTCACTAACTCCCTCCCTCACTCACTCCCTCCCTCACTCACTCACTCACTCACTCACTCACTCACTCACTCCCTCCCTCCCTCCTCACCCTCCACCTTAATCCATCCTCCCTCC